ATAACCACCTCATGGTTTAAGGCCATCTCATTAGACTAGCAACTGTGCTATAGAAGAATAAATATAATATTGTTCCTGTATACTGAGTTTTTAAACACAAAAAGAACCTGTTCCCTCCTTCCTCTTACAAAACAGGACTATGAATGCACCACAGAAACTTTGGGGGTATGCTTATGCGCACGTGTGCACAGGAGATCTTATTGCCAAGAACTGTTCAGGAAACTGCTGTAGGTGACATAAGGACTTGCCATAAATCCTTGGGATTGCCTTACATAAATCACCATTTTCTGAAAATAGTATTTAGCATTCTACAACTTTCTTAAGGATAATCAAGCAGTGAAACAAAAAGTGTAGTGTAACTCCCCTTGTGTGGCCCTGGCCACAAATTTAATTCAGTAAAGCCTTCAGTAAGAAGGCTACTGCTATTCTTTTTCTTGATTATTATTTATTTTTGTGGACACATATTACATAACGTGCTTAAGACCATCTGTTTCATATATATTTTTGACTATAAGAAGTCATTGCTAAAATGTTTTGCAATTTATTTTATTTTGCATTTGCAGATTTCTATAAAGCACATCATAATCAAACATGATAACAGAAAAAACAAGTAAATAACAAAAAATTCTAAAAATCTTGTCCTACTTTAATCTTGCTAACTTAAAACTTAAAACCTTAGAGACAGCTGTTGTTGACACAATCTTAACAGAACAATCTCTCGTATTGGAAGAGGATTAAATCAATAAATCTTGAACTCTATGCCAGACTTCACCTATTTATTTATTTGAAGGGTAAGCACGCCAGCATTGACAAATTGAAGCTTCTCTTTCTCCAAGACAGCTATATCTTGTCAGGGAAGGGCCCAACTCACACCTTCACTTGGTGTGAGGGTTATTTACCCTATTAGTGAAAGTGAAGCATACATTAATGGGACTAGTGATTTTAAAAGGAACAGAAGAATTCACATCTGGTACTTCTCACTTCAGAGTTTATGGACTACAGTTAGTAATTCAGCTATGTCATTCATAAGTTCCCTTTGGGCTCTTGGGTGAAGCTGGTCTATGTTCTCCATACTTTGCTACAGACTATTTTGTGTAGCTGGGGTTGAAATATCTGCGATCAAGTTTATGATACAGAGATATTTCTGCAGAATGCTCCCTTGCATACCCACACCCAAGCATGCCAGTTTCCTCTACAGTATACCCCAATGCAAATGTGCTCACTTATACTCTCTTTCTTGCACACAGCCTTTATACTTTCATTGTTAGTTGGATGCACAGGGTCTTTGACAAGCCTTTTGCTCCTGATGAGTCAGAATCTGTATTTATAACCAGTTTTGACTCTTCTCCCTAGTTGCTCTTCAAGCTCTACTTTTTCTAATTCTGTTTTAACAACTAATTGGTCAACTGTGTAATGCTTTCTAGTTTATTTGGGTACACTTCAGGTTTCGAAGTTTGATCTCTCATTTCTAATAACCTTCATGTTGCTACTTTTAACCACGTTGACTTTCTGTAATGCTCTTGCAAGCCCCTCCTAATGAGAAACAGGCACTGGTACTGTCTGATCAGTGTGTGTCCAAAGCCTGAAAGAATTTCACTTTCTGTGTACCTTTTATCTTCTTTTACAAAAAATAAGAAAGCTTCCTGTTTACTCCCTCTTTTAAGTTGGTAAAGCTGTGGTGTTTGGTTTTGGCCTTTTCTGATAGTGTAGGAACAGCTCCCAAGAACATACCCCTGGGATGGGTGCAGAGCTATTGCTGTTGTATGCCGTCTTTGGAGTAATGGGAGTAAACACAGCTGTTCTGCACAACCTCTGCAAAGAATGTTCAAGAGAAAAATAGTACAGCCAAGCTATAACTTACCTGAGCAAGAGAGTAATGATCTAAATTTACAGTATTGAGACATTTTAATTTGATACCAGAAACTGGAATGAACAGATGAGGTCATGTTTTGACTAATGAATGTAATATTCACTGTGACTGTCGGGAGGCACTTGTCTATAAGGACTAATGCCATTACTGTTCTTTATAATGAGAAAATCACTGGAAAAGATACTGAAAGAAATGCACGACAGCATTAGAGAATTTACAGAATAACAAATAAACCCCCATATTGTCTGGATACCGGGGAGGGGAAAGTCCATTTTCTGAAGAGGCCATCTTATCTCTATATTAATAAATATTTATTTAGGATATGTAAAACAGAAAGTCTCTGCTTCTATAATTCACATTATCCAGTACACAGGTTTATCATGTAAGTATAGAAGATATCTAGCGATCTAGGTAAAATGCTTTATATGGGAATTTGATTAAATCTACATTTCAAGATCAAACATCCATGGAAAAATGGAGACGCTTAAAATCTTGATGACTTACTTATATTGGGGTACTGCTTGTGATCCTGGACACTGATTCGAATGCAGATAAATCAAAGGTATTAATTTTTGTTATGCTTCCACTTGAGAGGTACAATTTTCTCCTATAACTCTTTGCATGAGAAAGCTATAAAACCTGTACGGTAAGAGTATGTGCTACTCCTAGACCTTCTCCTATGGTAACCTAGACCAATCTGAAGGTCTGAAGTACAAAAGCTCCTAGAGGATCCCAGTATGTTCTGAGTCCTCCTCTGCACCACCCCCTTTCTTCTACTAGCTATAAAGAGATTGTACGGGGGTAAGGACTTCAGGGTTGACGTACATAATCTTATATGAATATTAGTGTGCGATCAGAGCCTTTCACCCTTTAAAACATGTTGTCCTTTCATAAGGAGTCAGGCTTGCAACACGTATTTTAATCTTCCTTAAAAAACATCAGGTCTTTCGTTTCTTCCTTATTTAATAAATTTTTCAATTGATTTTTAGAGTTCAGAATTACCTTTCAACTTTGCACACCAGATGCCCTCCTTATATTTTGTGAATGAATAAGGAAAGAAAGAATTTCAAAACAGGTCTAACAGCTTGCACTGCATAGCAGTAAACATGTATTTTGAACCACTTCAAAACACAATAAATCAATAAGAAGCTGTAGAAAAGAAAGAAAAAGAACCAGGATATTTTGATCCAATACCAGCAACCAAATAACTATATTTGCTCCTGTAATGACCTGCACTGTTCCCTCAATACTCACACTCGATGACTATTCACAACTCATGCACATCTACTCTACCACTATTTCATTTATCAGAATTGAGGCAATTGAGAACAATCATTATGAAATAATAAAATATCCTTTAAAAAAAAATCAAGTCTGAGAATAAGATTCAGGGTTTCTATTTTCTGATAATATAACTTGAAATTATTTCAACACTTTATTTGAAAAATGGGTATCATCCAAGTGAATTGATACAATTCTTTTTTCTCTACTGCCAGAAACTCAGTATCCGTTTAAAAAAGAAAGAGCATTTCTTTCTCTTCCTCTACCAAGGAGTGGAATTAGAGGAAAAAAAGGGCTGAAAAAGAACACTACCCCCTTGTTTGTTTATGTTACATGCAAAGGACCACCCTCCCATCAGTACTACAATAACATGCAGCTACATCTGTATCTATGTTATTTTTTCAACTTCTTAAATGATTCTTACTTTCCACACTAGTTTTCTACACAGACAACAGCTGACAAGAAGCATATAAAGTGTTTCTGAATCCTTTAAAACATAAAGTATGCTATAAGATATAACATGCTCAAAAAAAAATTTAACATCCACTCACGCCGAAAGCTCCTCCCAAAGGCCCACATTTTTATCCTTCTGCCTTGTTGCTCATCCATACAAACTTAATAGATAAGGGATCTCCTTGGCATTTCAGTCATCACTACAGCTATCAGCCCAAACCGTCCACCTAATCCTTTCAAAGAACCATAATTAAGTTACATCTTGTAATTTTTTTTTAAATTTACGTTGAAGAGAAGAACGACTTTTGCTCAGTGTGGACTTACTGCACATGGGAGCAAACATTGCCATTGTGGTACATCAGTGAACGTGCCAATTGCCTAGTACATGTCAGTGCTAAACCTGGATACCAATATAAGATCCAAAGGTGGATTTTTGGCAATATGAAATTACTGGGGCTATTTTTCTTAGAAAATATTCACAGGATAATTGAATGCTATTTATTATATATACATTTTTCATTTTAAGATACCAAAAGGTTACTGGAAGTTAAAGACTAATTTATAGTTTTATAGTTTTATAGTTTTTTTATAGTTTTATAGACAAAAGCATTAGACTTGCCTTCAAGAGATCTTGACTTACCATCCCCACTCTTTCACTGCTTGCCATATGACCTTGGCTAAGTCATCTTTGTGTTTCAATCTGCTAATTTTGACATAATATCTAATGTTGATATGACATAAAGGTAAAGGTGACTGGATAGAAGACAACAGGACAAGCATAGACCCTTGCTTTATTTTAGGATTAGCTAACTTCAAGTCTACTGACTGACTTGGGGAGATGACAACAGTAATTTACAAGACAAAAATAAAAACTTGTGCTTAAATATCTTGTTTTCCACCACAGAGTGATAGTGACAGAGAGAGAATCTCAGTGAATCCTCAATTTTTACCCTTAGAAGTCCTTGCTGTTGACAGATCTTGTAAATCTTGACAATTTCTGGGAAAAACATTACATATTCAACCAATGTCACCATTACAACCAAGGCATTTAGCATTTTCAGAATTCGTTCAATACTTAGTTAATAACTAAGGTTAAACACTTGATTAAGCAGCCTATTTTACTTCTTCCGAAAACACTAATGTTTAAAGAAAAAAAAAATCAATCTGTCACTTCACACACAATGGGGTTTTTCTGCTCATCTGGAAAAAACAGTGTGATATCTCCCGTGCACCATTGAGATTTACAGCAGTTTTAGTGTGCTTTTAGCATCAGGATTAGGTTTTCAACCCCGTTCTCACTGTACTGTTTGCAAACTAGACATATCAAGAACACACTCTTT